AAAGCTTAATTTTTATTTTCTAAAATGACAGGACATTTCTTAATGGTAACTGCACATATTCATAATTAAGTGGTATTTGTTGTGTATCTTTCTAAAAATATTTTCTCGACTTTCTCATTGACTTGCTTACTACCTTATTATTATTTTTTTTAGTGAAATGGAAAATTTTTCAGATAGGGAAATTACAAATGAAAACAATTAGTAAATGAAAGAGAGGAGACAGAAAAATAGCCGAGGAATGAGAGAGATAAAACAGTGCATGAAAAATTTTAAAAACCAGGACATTATACTAAATTATAGTAGCTATATGTTATTTGGTAATATTCTTGTGATCTTATTATAGGATTATATTTTGAAATTAGTATAGTGTAAGTTATTCTTTTAAATTTTTTTAGAGTATTCATTTAAAAATTTAATTTTTAATTAATATTTTTAAAAATAATTTTTAAATTTTTTTATTATAAAATTTTAATCTATTTTTATTTAATATATCAATTTTTTACTTCACCATTTAATGTCAATGTCATGACCTTGCTGCTTAGAGATTTCAAAGACACATTTCACATCGTTGCTGAGTTTTAGGCCTGCACTGGCCCTTGCTGTCAGATGTTAGTAATAATTATACATTTCTATTTGCTCCAACTTTCGTATCTCTCCATACAGTAACAAACTGACATTTTCTATGGGCAACAATTATTTTTTCTGAATTATTTTTCTTGCTTCTGCAGAAAGTTCATCCCTGCTCACGTTTGCCAGCATGAGATGGAAAGGCAGGCAATTCCCACTGACATTTTGAAAACGGGGCTATGATATTGACAAGAGAGAAAGGAATCCAAGGCAGACAAAAATATTTGAGAAAAGAGAAACGTACAACTGTGAATATTTTTCGAGCGCAAAATTTTTTATAAAAAATAAAATTAATTTTTTACAAATATTGTTACTATGCCGTAGAGGATGATGAAAGGGAATCGGGGTTGTTAATCATCAAAGGTGATAGGGCTGGGTGCGGTTCTATTTTTATTATAATTAAAATTGAATTATTTAATTAAAATTTTAAATTTTAA